AATTTGGGGGTGAAATCAGCCAATGCATAAAACCGCTTCATTCCAAGGGCAAGGAAGTCGTATTACATGGAGTAAGAAGTAACTACCTATTATTATTTAGAGGAAATGAGGTCTGAAGAGTTCCTTCCCCACTTCATCTCATTGCAGTCCCGTATTTTAAGTACTGTCGTTTTTTCACACCGCAAGGCTGAAGTGAATGAGATGGGACATGACTGAGGTGGACAAAATTATATCTGGTGTGGATAAAGGGGACAAGGAGAAGCTTTCTTCCCCTTCCCAAAATACTAGATCCAGAGGTCACTCAATGAAAGTGAATCTTGGAAGAATCAGGAAAGACAAAAGGGAATGTTTTTTAATTAACATCTAATTCAACTTTGGGATTTGTTGCCACACGTTGTGGTGCTGACTACCAGCTTGGCTGGCTTCAAAAAAGAATTGGACCAATTCATGGAAGTCACAGGGATCAATGGGCATTAGCCTTGATAGCAGTGCGACTACCTCAGAAGATCATATTCTGGGAGACTGCTGGGCTTCCTTGTGCAGTTGATAGACTGCTGTGAGATCAGAATGCTGGACTAGATGGGCCAGAGGACAATCCAGCAGGCCATTGCTTATATTCTTACATTCTTTACGATACTTGAAACAAGTTGGGACAACACATATAACTCTGAGTGAAATGACATTTCTTCTCACCTGAACATTCTGTATTCCCTACAAAACTAGGCACCGCCTGCCCTTATTTTCTGCAGATGGTACAAATAGCTAATCTAGCATGGGAGGTGGGGACGGATGCCAAGCTCTGGAAGAGGCTGGTAGCATCGTCTGTAGAGACTTCAGGCTAATTGAGACCTTTCTTGCACTGGCCACAAAATGAGGGGATGACAAGGTCTTCCAGTTTTACTACTTCTGATAAGAGACTAACATAGAGAAAGTCAGAAAATGAGAAAACTAAGCTAAGCAGAGGCTGGGTCCTGTTTGTCCTTGCCTTTATAGGGACTCCTCCTTCAATGCTAGGAGGAGCAACGCTAATTTAGCAAGGAACACTTCTTTGCAAGGTTGTTTGCATTTCCCATTCACAGTTAAGGTTGCTTTTTAACTTGCTGCCAAACTATTGCTTAGTCTCAGTGCTTGATGAATGCATTTGGTGCAGTTATATGTGAAAATCAACACTACGCCTTGGCAGGAACATACTGGTTGCAGTTTTGATGATTCAAATAAACTATGGGTTGTGCATAGACTGCTGCCTTGGAATACGGGGGATCTGTTCTCCTGTCCTGT